CTGGAGACTGTATCTTCAGAAGGATATTGATACCTTAGAGAGGGTTCAGAGAAGGGCTACTAAACTGGTTAATTCATTGCAGGATAAAACTTACCAGGAAAGGTTAAAGGATCTTAACATGTATAGCTTGGAGGAAAGACGAGACAGGGGGGATATGATAGAAACATTTAAATATATAAAGGGAATCAACACAGTAAAGGAGGAGACTATATTTAAAAGAAGAAAAACTACCACAACAAGAGGACATAGTCTTAAATTAGAGGGACAAAGGTTTAAAAATAATATCAGGAAGTATTACTTTACTGAGAGGGTAGTGGATGCATGGAATAGCCTTCCAGCTGAAGTGGTAGAGGTTAACACAGTAAAGGAGTTTAAGCATGCGTGGGATAGGCATAAGGCTATCATAAAAATAAGATAAGGCCAGGGACTAATGAAAGTATTTAGAAAATTGGGCAGACTAGATGGGCTGAATGGTTCTTATCTGCCATCACATTCTATGTTTCTATGTTACCCTGCTGATCTTCGTATAGACTCTCAAGTTTAAATACCCAATCTAAATGAAAGATAATGGATACTCCCCATTTTAAAGAGAATAAGCATTATAGTCTGTAAGGTATTTTTTTTTTTTTTTTATTTGAGCTGAAGGGATTGCATTTATATATGTGAGTTTCCTGGAAACTGATAGCAGCTTCAGACCTATGCATATCTCATATACAAGAGAAACGCATCTATATCTATCCATATATGTCTCTTGCTCTTCTAAAGAGCCACACTCCCCTCTCTCCTCCAGTTCTGCTACTTTTCCACCTTGTTTGGTGGCTGTCACCCAATCTCCACAAGACTGTAAGCTTGTTTAAGCAGGGCCCTCATCTACCGATTGTTCCTGTGTCACTGTGTAATAATATTGTAAAGCTCTGCAGTATTATTTGGCTCTATATAACTACCTAATAATAATAATAATAATAATCCCTTATAACTATTCTTCTCTTACGAGGGCTATTTAAACCCTTAACGTTATGGGTGTATATATACACCCTCTTCCAAATTCTTATGCAAATTCTATTTAAGTGTCACAAAGCTTAAATATTTTGTTTTTCAGTTTAACTCATGGATGACATTGTGTCTCAGGGCTCTTTTGATCACTGAAAACAGTCTCGGACACCTGTGATAATTAGATTGCCAGGTGAGCCCAATTTAAGGAAAAACTACTAAAGGAAGGTGTTCCACATTATTAAGCAGGGCACCATTTTCATGCAATATGGAGAAGAAAAAGGATCTCTCTGCTGCCGAAAAGAGTGAAATAGTTCAATGCCTTGGATGAGGTATGAAAACATTAGATATTGCATGAAAACTTAAGCGTGATCGACGCACTATTAAGAGATTTGTGGCTGATTCAGAGCACAGACGGGTTTGTGCAGATAAAGGCACATTGAGGAAGATTTCTGCCAGATCCATGCATTGGATCAAGAGAGCAGCTGCTAAAATACCATTCCATAGCAGCAAACAGATATTTGAAGCTGCTGGTGCCTCTGGAGTCCCACGGACATCAAGGTGTAGAGTCCTCCAGAGTCTTGCAACTGTGCATAAACCTTCTATTCGGCCACCACTAACCAATGCTCACAAGCCGAAACGGCTGCATTGGGCAGACAAATACATGAAGACTAATTTCCACCAAACAGTCCTGTTCACTGATGAGTGCCGTGCAACCCTGGATGGTCCAGATGGATGGAGTAGTGGATGGTTGGTGGACGGCCACCCTGTTCCAACAAGGCTGTGACGTCGGCAAGGCGGTGGTGGAGTCATGTTTTGGGCCGGAATCATGGTAAGAGAGATAGTCGTCCCCTTTAGGGTCCCTGAAGGTGTAAAGATGACCTCTGCAAAGTATGTGGAGTTTCTGACTGACCACTTTCTTCCCTGGTACAGAAGGAAGAACTATGCTTTCCGTAATAAAATCAACTTCATGCATGACAATGCACCATCTCATGCTGCAAAGAATACCTCTGCTTCAATGGCTGCTATGGGGATAAAAGGAGAGAAAGTCATGGTGTGGCCTCCATCCTCCCCTGACCTCAATCCTATTGGGAACCTTTGGAGCATCCTCAAGCAAAAGATCTATGAGGGTGGAAGGCAGTTTACATCCAAACTGCAGCTCTGGGAGGCTATTCTGACATCTTGAAAACAAATTCAAGCAGAAAAAAAACTCACAAGTTCAATGGATGCAAGACTTGTGAAGCTGCTATCAAATAAGGGGTCCTATGTTAAAATGTAACGTGACATGTTAAAATGTTTAAAAAGTTAAAATGTTGTTATACGTTTGATTGAAATAGCTTTTCATTTCAGTAAATATGCTGCAAACACAACAAATGATAATTTTCAGTTCTTTACAACTTATAAAGTGTTTTGAAACTTACTGTGCGTAATAATTTGGTAATAATAACAGTGCATTGTAAGTTTTTTTTTTGTTTTGTTTTTTATGTTTAAAAAAAATACTGTTATTAGGAGGTGTGTTCAATAAAATTTGAATTGTACTCTTAATAGTTGATAACATGAGAATTATGCTGACTGTTATTTACATCAATTATTTAGGTAAATGAAATAAATTTCATGCGATTTGGAACAGGGTGTGTGTGTGTGTGTGTGTGTGTGGGTGTATATATATATATATATATATATATATATATATGTGTGTGTGTGTGTGTGTATATATATAAATATATATATAGTTTTATTTCCAGCCAATTTTGTTTTATAGCAAGTTATACACAATGTATCACCGTTAAAGAAGAATCCATCCGTAGATTCATTCTCAACAAGCATGTTAGTAAGAGGAGGGAAGTTGTAGCTGCTGTTCAAACATATGGAAAAGCATAGGCTAGGTTAATAAGGGTATGCTTTTTTTTGATTTTATATTAATGTCAATCCTTATGGCATGGTAAAAGTGCCGTGAACATGGGCTAGTGTAGTGTGGAGGTATGGTTGTGTGAACCTCTTGATTTTATAGTTAACGTTGGTGAGCCTCAAATATTGGTTGTGTGCGTATACATTGGGTTAGTCACCCTCTGGATCTCTGAGCTAGAATTAGGCATGTGTGCCTTATTGTTTGTTTAGTGTTTATCATATGCCATTTTCCATGTTTCTCGGAATGCGTGCATATCTTTGCTTATGGTTAGGGACAAGCGTTCAAAGATGGAGAATTGCTGAATGTTATCCCATAGTTGGTCTTTGGATGGACATTGTATGGATTTCCAGTTTAGTGCTAACAAGTTGCGTGCTGCCAGTAGAGTGAGGACTATCAGTTGTTTGTGGGTCTTGGTTACTGAGGAGGAAAAGAGCAAGAACAGATAGGTCTCAGCCTTTCTAGGGAAGTTGGGGACACCTAGTACAGCCAGTGTGTTTTGGACCTCTGAATTTTTTGGCACGTCTTCCACACGTGAATAAGTGTGCCTTCTTCGAGCGAGCATATTCAGCACAGTGGAGATACGGTGGGGTATAAGTGGTGAAGCTTGTGGGGGTCATGTACCACCTATATAGCAGCTTCCTGTGAGCCTCAATATGTGTGTAGCATTTCATCTATTTGGACAGGTCATTGAGTGCTTTTAGCCAATCTGCGTCTGTGGGTGAGATGGAGCAGTTTCCCATTCTGCTTTGCAGTGTGGGGGATTGTGTGATAGGGCATTTTGTCATGCTCTGTAGCATAGGAATATGACTTTTGATTAGATGGGGCTACACAGCATTGATCTACAATCAGTTAAGTTGGGAGAGGGTCATGATATGGTGGTGGCTGTTGGAGCTTTACGCATGAGTTGATAATTCCTTTAAGTTATGGATAGGGGAACATAGCATGGGGAGGATGATTCACCCTTGGTTTGCAGCTCTGGAAATTGTATTACTCCCTGTTTGTCTAGGAGTTGACAGATTTGGGAGATCTCAGCCTTAAGCCAGCTCTAGAAGGGTATGTCATGTGAAACTGCACTTAATGCCGTTAAGGGTGCCTTGACGTGGAATTTCACCTTACGTCCTAGAGTGTCAAGGTATGCATCCCAATATCTGAAAGTCAGCTCTGTGGTTGGAAAAATGTTGGTCTGTGTTGTTCTAAAGTGTTTGGGTGTCCACATATAGTCAGTGAGTTTGTGTTCCTGAAATTGTGCGAACTCCATGTCTACCCAGTGCAGTGTCCCAGCTGGTGAGTGCAGAGTGATTCCTGCCATCAGTGCGGTGGCTTTGTAGTATTGCCCTATGTTGGGAAGGCTCACCCCCCCTTGCTAAGGATTTTTTTGTAGTATGGTTTTGGGTATTCGAGGCCTTTTGCCCCCCCCCATATGAACGTTGCGCATGTCGTTTGTAAGGGGTTAAGTAGTGTTTGTGAAATGCGTATAGGGAGCATTCGAAATACATAAAGCACCTTAGGGAAAATCATAATTTTGCATGCATTAACCCAACCCAGTCACCATATAGTCATGTGCTCCCATTTGTTAACCTCTGTCTTGCATATGTTCGGTAACGAGGTGTAGTTTAGTTTTATGACTTCTATCAAAGAGGTGGAAATATTTACTCCCAAATATGTCAGTTATGTTGTCCTCCAGTCAAAGGGAAAGGCCTTGCACAGACTAGCTTTCACTAGTGAAGGCAGGTGTATTGGAAGGGCCTGTGTTTTGTCTTGATTTAGGCAGTAATGGGAGATGTCTCCAAAAGCCGTCAAAGCTGTCATGACATGTGGGACAGAGCTTTCTGGGTCTGACAATGCCACAAAGACCTCATCGGGAAAGAGTGCCAATAGATAATCTCGCCCCAGTACCTTGATTCCATGAATCAGTGGGTGATTGTGAATCTTCTAGGGGTTCCAGGGAGAGGACGTAAAGGAATGATACTTTGGCCGTAGGTGCCACATATAATGCCATGATCCCTTTAATGACTTCTGGTGGGAACTTATATTTCAAAAGAACTTGTCACACATATGCCCAATTCAGTCTGTCGAAGGTGTCAAATGCGAGGAAAAGACCTCAGACAGAACCCCGCTCCATGGCCAGCACATTGAGGATTTTCCATGTGTTGTCTGAGCCTTGGTGGCCTTTAATGAAGCCCGACTTGTCATTATGAACCAGTTTTCTTAGGATCGGGGCAAGCTGATTGCTGAACTGTTTGGCATATAACTTGGCGTCTGCATTGAGGAGAGAAAAGGGTCTGAAATTTTTGCGTAGGTTTTGTGGTTTGCCAGGCTTTGGTAGAGTGGAGATGTGGGCCATCAGCATTTCGGCAGGCTGTGCTCTCCTGTGTATACTGTGATTATAGAGGGACAATAAGTGCGGGGATAATATCTGGGAGAACTCTTTGTAGTAACGGATGGAGAGACCGCCAGGACATGGGGATTTATGGGCTGGCAGGTTAGCGATTGCCTTGGTGATTTCCTCTAGGGAAATTGGCTGTCATAAGGAGTTTATAGCTGCAGGTGATCGTATCGGTAGATGGACATCAGCTAGGAATTGGTCAATTTCAGCTTCGGTTGGGATCATGGTGTGAGCGTCCTCTTTTAGGTTGTACAACTTGTGGTAGTATCGAGCAAATTCCTTCACAATACTTTTTTCGGCTCAATAGCTTTCTGACCCTTATCATTGTTTAGGTATGCAATCCTGGAGGCGATAGATTTTTGTTTTAGTTGCGAGGCTAGTTTTGCACCCGCTTTATTTCCTGATACAAAAAATCTGTGTTTAGATTTCTGGAGCAGGTATGTCGTTTTGGACAGCTCCATGTCTCTTAGTTTGGTTTGTAGCTTAAGCAGTTTGATTTGTGTTGTAATGGGGGGGGGGTTTGTTTGTTCGTATGCGTGAGTGATGTCATTTTGTCTATCAGGGAAATGTATTGGGCTTGACGTTATTTTTTGGAATAGCTGTAATGCTTGATAAAGCAGCCACGAATTACCGCCTTGTGAGCTAGCCAGATTTGGTCTGGGGGAGAATCAGGGAGCTTGTTCTCCTCAAAGTAGTGTCTGAGGTCTTGTCTGATCTGATAATAATTGGGTCAATGAGTAGGGATTTGTTCAATCTCCAGGTGGTTTGGCCACTTGAGGGAAATTGTACGGCTAGTGTCATTGTTTTTGGAGCATGATCCAACCATGATATGAGACCAATGTTCATGTCTACTACTTTTGGGAGGGAAGTAGCTTTGAACAGGAATCTGTCCAATTCTCGAATAGCTATTGTGTGCTGATGTGTGGCAGGTGTAGTCTATTTCAGAAGGATGTGTGATCCTCCATGGATGAACATTATTGTGGGTCAAGAGTTTTTGGCAGAATTGAGAGGTTTGCTCACGTTGTTTCTTTAATGTGTTATAGGACACCGTCTGGGAGGCGGACGAGTCTGTGGTACTGTCTAAAAGAAAGTTTTTGTCGCCTCCAAGAATTACCTCCCCAAAGCCATGTACATTCAATAAAGCAAAGGCATTGGTTAAAAACATGTGCTGATTTTCATTAGGGCCATACAAATTCATTAGGGTAAAGGGATTGGTGTTTATGTAGCATTGAAGAATAAGATATCTTCCTTTTTTATCACTGATTTTGCGAAAAAAAAATAAAAAAGATTCCTGCTGTAGCAGGTGTGATAGTCTGAGGGGAACCAAGGGGAATTAAACTTAGGCCTGGAGCCCCACTTGTAGTGCATTTCCTGAAAAACACCACTTGAGCGCCCTGCTTTTTGTCTGTTAGACGAGTTTAGCCCTTTAGTATTCAGAGAGAATATTTTTGTAGTCATGTTTGTGGCCTGTTAACCTCGGCCGTGTGGAGCGGTTATGCTGCTTCAAGGTAGGTATTGGGTTGGTCTCAACTTGCTTGGGACTAGTGGGGAGAGGCCAACGTACAGACAATCTTGTGGCAGGGTTAAGTGTGAGTACAGCATTTTTTGTTTAAGTTTCTTGCTTGATTTTGTCGCCATCATGCTCAGGCATGTACCTGTTAGCCGTGTGGTCTAATTTTTTTAAGTATTTAGCTGTGAAGTCGGCAGAGCTTGCAGATTACACAATCACTTCCATGCTTTGATTGGCCACGCCCCTCAAGGGAGTATATTTTTAAGGGAGCAGTCATGGCTTAGTCTCTAATACTACGTATTATTGGAGGGGCCTGCTGGCCAGCCTCTTAGCAAAAGACTATGGGCCCTTTAAAAAACTATGTGAACAGACTTTGTTCATGGGATTTTATATTTGGTTCAGGAATCAAACAGCCGTGCAAACCGGACACCAACCTGGAGCTTGTTAAGCCAAACTTTGTAGCAATTTCCACCCCAGTGTTCGTCTGGGTGGCCGCAATTCCTATGGACGACCACGAGGTGGCAGCCATCTTGTTCACATGAAAGTAGGCAGCGGTGTTTGGTCATGAATCTCATGGAACTGAAAACGGACACAGAAACTCCCGAACACCGCTGGACTTCCAGCATCACCTGCATTCGGTTCTACAACACTTAGAAAGGTGCTGTTTGGTGGAAACGTTCCCACAAACAAGGGGGATCAAGCTCCAGGGTAAGGCTATTGACTCTGTTCGGTAGTTTGTTCATTTATAAACTACCAAACTAGACTGACTGCAAGCCCTGATTCTCTGCAACTGTTTTGGGCATGGTACCATGCAGGTGGTAGGTCAAAAATAAGACTTCCAGGAAATTCCTGAACCCCTGAACTGATCTGGGTGATTTTTGGATATGTTGGTCACCCAGATCAGGGCTATTAGGGGAGGTAATATGGGTATATGTTGTGTTTTGGGGTGTTTTCTGGTCCCCCCACCCCTGCCTTAGAGGAAGAAAAAGTAATGTTGCTAAATATTTTGTGTGGACAGATCCTATTTGTTAATAACACAAATGTTAAAATGTAACAACTAGTTACAATGTAATATAAGTTAATTCTGTTACATTGAATGTATATGATTGTATAATAAACACTATGGTTGCATGTCAGGAAATCTTAAAGGAACACTGCAAACAGCATGATCACTACTAGTGAGCATAGTGCCAGATAAAAGTGGTTTAACAAACTACCTGAGTCCCCTGGGAACACATGTCCACAATGACTGCTTCCTGATTCTCCAGCAAGTGCTAGATTCATAGAATCTATGTTGTAATGCTCACTGGAGAGAAGTTGCTAAATATGAACTACTTTTATTAACCATTGTATGTACTTTCTCTCTATGAATATTAAAGGAACATTCCTGCTGAAGTGGTTATGGTTTGTGGAATGCGATGGCACCCTTCTAGAATAATTTGTAAAACCTTTAAGAACAGTTTTCTCTCTGGAGCTAAATACAGCTTGATGACAAATCACTATGGTAGAGCGCTAGGCTAGGCCACTACAGGCACCATAACCACCAACAGGCTGTAGTGAGTATGTTGCTTGGACTGTTTCTCTAATATTTTGACAAAGAAAAAACATAAAATGGTGAATAACAGAAGTGCATTGTTAACGTATTTCCATTGAAAGTAAAATAAACACAATAGCGCTACTTACAGTTTTTCTTCACAGAGCCTCCCTCGGCTCTGCTCACCTCTCTACCTCCCGCAACGTCATTGATGAGGCATTGCCTTATCTGGCTATTTTCCAAACCAATGCACCTCATAGAGTAGTACTGCATACATGTCCGAGATTGCTTTCAAAAAGCATTGAATTCAATGCTTTCCTATGGGCTTCCATGTCACATGGATTTGACAGTTGTACTCTGTCAATACCACAGAAGCACCTATTACGACTGTCAGGAAGACAGCCACTAGAGGTGGCTTTAACCCCTTAAGGACCAAACTCCTGGAATAAAAGGGAATCATGACATGTCACACATGTCATGTGTCCTTAAGGGGTTAACCTTGTAATATAAACATTGCAGTTTCTAAAAAAATAAAAATAAACCTACATGCATTAAGATGAACTAGTCTAGGTGACTTTAGTATCCCTTTAATATCTATAAAACTCATAATTTACTTACTTCAGGATGTTTTACTGCTGGCTTTACTTTAGTTTAGTTTTTTTTCTTTATTTTTTTAAAACAATATAGTTATTTGATCAATATTGTGTCAGTAACAGGCCATACTTCTACATACAAAGTGATTCACTAAAGTGAGGATTCAAGGTGAATTTTAAATTGAAGGTCAAAGTCGTTGTACAGAAACAAATGTCTAATTCAGCTATGTTTTCCATTCAGCTACACTGGCCTTAAATTTGAAATTCACTTTAGTACATGACTTTGATAGTCTTTAAGTATTCCAAAGTTTTTCAATGACTCTTCTGCTACACGGTAACTGTGCTAAATGCAGGAATTGTCTCTCATCTCAAATAGTGTACTGAAGGTGAGCATTAGATATCTCTGTCACTCATTATAATCCACTAATGTGAGAATTGTCCATGACTTCAAAGCGAATTTCAGATTTAAGGCCAAACTAGATGAACTGGGAAAAATGTGTGACAGCTATGCTTCTAGTTTGGCTACTTTGGTCTTAAGTTTGAAATTAATTTTTAATTATCAACATTTCTCACGGCAGTGAATAACTTTTTTTCCACTTATATGAAAACACTCAAGGTGTCAGACATTTGAATCAGCAGATCACGTCTTCACCAAGAAAAACTTCTTTGCCCTATTTCATAAGAAGGATTGTGAATGCCATTTCTGTCACACCATCTACTACACTGGTTAGCAACAAGCTAAGCTCAATGTAATGAGTGCATATGGTAAGGATGCCTCTGGTCAAATACCATAGCATATATTGGCTGAATTACCAGTAAGTGTCTTCTTTATTTCTGAAACAGATGTGCTCTGGCCTTAAGCTCACATATGGGCATTGATTTTTATTTTTAAACACGGAACTCAAATCTAAATATTTGTTTTATAAATATTTTGATGCAATGCTTCATTTATGTTATAAAATATATATGTAAAGTAATAGAGGTCTGGGCGCTCCTTGGTTCAAGACAGGCACTTTATTAGGAACCACAATAGCTGTTGTGGTTCCTAATAAAGTTCCTGTCTTGAACCAAGGCGTGCCTGGACCTCTATTACTTTACTAATGTTTGGAAATCTGATGTTTGATTCCGGTTCAGCAAGCACCCTGGCTCAGATTTGTGGGAGTGAGTGCAGTTCCACATATACTATTCAATAAAATATATATGTCAAATATTTATTTTATTTTTTTTGTGTGAAGAAAGATAATACTTTCTATTGTTTATTTAATAATTATTTTATAATGCTAGCAAAGGATGAATGATTAAAGGTAATCATGCTGAATACACACACACTAATATAAATATATCAGAATTTGATTCAGATAGACATTTTTTCCTCAGTTTCCCCATTCGATTTTAAATCACAAAATGTTGATTTTATTGAATAATCCAGTCCTAAATTTTATAATTTTTAAGCAGATCCCTTCTTCATTCAGCTCAATTCACATTAAATGAACAGTAA